GCCGCGCCCCGGCCCCAGCCCAAGCTCCGCCCCCGCAGCGCACCGCCGGCCCCAGGAATGGAAAAGCAGCACAACAGTTATGGTGTGAGTTTTATTTACACAGGAATTGGTACTAGTGGTCTTAAAGGAAGGCTTGATCCTTCTATTTACACAGTTATATACAGATTTATAGTTGAAAAGTAAGAAAACTGTACAAGATAACACAAAAATATAAGACAAATCGGATCCAGTTAAAGTAGTGAATACATAAGTTAAGAAAAGTCTGACATTTAAATTTCAAATTGTAATGTTAGGAGTAGTATATATGTAGTTTTGAAACCAGATAGCAATGTAAGTTACACCACACTAAATCTTTACCCCAATTATGTAGACTCTGCTTTTAAACACCAGACAACGGGAAGCCTCCTGCACTTAAGAATACATAATAGTAATTTTGACTTGATTTCCACAGAGGGACCAGTTACAAAAACCCACATGTAAGGAATTTATTTACATTAAATATTAGTAAAAATGGACCAGGAGAGTGCAAGTGTTCTGCACCTGCAGTGCTATCCATTTTAAATTTCCATCCCCTACAGTCACAAGTTGTTGTACAGCATCTTCAAGAACAGGAAATACTTGACAGTATCTGCTGTGACACATACATATGACCTTATGTCTCACAGTTAAAAGATGTTAAAGAACTAAGTATCACTCACTAAATCAGATGCTTTTTGGATTTCAGTATTGCACACTAATAAAAGAGTTTCAAAACCAATTCTGTGTCTGCATTATTCCAAAGTGGCAGCTCCTTTGACAACACAAAGTCTGCAGATAGCTTTGTCACAGTTTCTAGTGTTCACAATTGCATACAAGTACTTCTTAGTTGGAAATGGCTCAAAGTAAAACTTCTGGTGGCAAAACCCTTTCACAGAATACCCACTCCATTTTTAAGAAGCTGCACGACCAATGCACCAAAACAAATGCTTAACATCACTCACTTTGAAAGCTGTATGCGACAAAAACAATAGCCTTGATCTTACCCCTGTTTAGAATTCAGATATTTTTGCTCTAACAGGTTTGGGCGCAATACTTCCACATTTCCTGAGTTAAATTACATTTGCCCCAACTGAAGAATGAAGCTGCAACTTAAAAAACACACCAAGACAATGTCGCTTCCCAAATTTTAACCATCTTGCACATAAACATACCAAACAACCTTATTTGGTCCTCAGTACTTTCAAATGGTTAATTTTGGAGGTAATATTTGTACCAAAGCATTTGGTTTGGATAGCAGTTTTGGGGCCCTAAGATTTAGCATTTCCCTCATCCCCTCAAAAAAGTGCCTTTGTGGTATTCGTAAAAAAAGTTATGCCTTAAAATTTTTTTTAAAGTACCAACAGAAGTTATTACAAATGTTTATTGCATTGAGCTGATTCTTTTAAAGTATTAAATATGAACTCCCCCACTTCTCAGTTTCATAGGTTTTAGTATTCTGTGTGAAAACAAATCTTCCCACGACAAAAGCTAATACTGGCAAAAGGTTGAAGATTTCATCAGTTCATTACTCCACTGAGAGCTGTGTCATTTTTCCATCTCATTTTCACATTTTCTATAGTGCTTTTCCACATAGAAGTGATGTGAAAACTTCTTTGTCATCAAGTGGTTTTCCACATTTTCAATTGACCTCAACATTATGATGATTAGCTTTTCAGTGCTGGGCTATGGTTCTTGTCCCCTTCTTTGTTGTCCTTCATCAGTGATGCAAACACCTGGAAAAATATTTAATAAATACTAAAAAAGCCAGTCTTATAAAAGATCAATATTAACCACCACAATATTAGCATGGTGATTAATTTCTAGAATGAGGCACTAGAAAGGAAGTGCCCATTGCTCAGAAGTCAGACATGCAGCACAAAGTAGTCATTAAGAGAAATGCCCCATCTACTCATGTGCTGACATGTCTGTTTTGATATAAATATCAAAGAAACTCACCTGTGCCCATTTTTTGTTACTATTCTGCATCTGAATAGCTGCAATACAACTAAAAAGCTTTTCTGATGTAATGTCGTCTGGAAGTTTTGTTAGAAACTGTGCTATATGAATAAAGTCCATCTGTAGGAGAATATCTTCATATAACCGAAGGATTCCTAACCCTGTCCTAAACAAAAATTCTTCTCCATCTCTACAGAAAACGTCCCAGACACGACAGGCCAGATCAAGTGGTAATGACTTGCTGTAGAGTGTAAAAATCCTACAGTTGAGAAAAAAAGACACAGTTATAACTAACCTATTTCAGAAAGATGAAAATACAACCTCCTTTAAATCTCAGTTACATTAGCTGAGACTGAACAGATGACAAGTTATTTCATATGTTCTTACTTTTCCTATATTTCAAAGATCCGCAAGTCTCTGGTTTTTGAAGTCAGAACTCCTACTCTGAAACTCATCTCTCTTTATGCTACAGAAAATCCTCCATTTGAAAGACGCCTCCTTTAGAAGCTCTGGCTAGAGAGGTTACAAACATCTTTATAGTCAAACATGGTATAATATACAAATAAGAGCTTAAGAAACAAACATCGTGTGTACATACATATGTAACACCAGTTACACAAACTGTGTAACTTAACTCTTCCCATTATTTAAGCCATACAGTTTAACAGCTCTGTTCATCATTTGTTTTCTAGACTAAATCTAAGGCCACAAATAATAGAAGACTACATCCCACTAATGTACTAATGAGAATTCAGTAACTATATGTGTGATACATCTTGAATTTCTACTCATGTTAAAAATCAACAAAATCTAAAGACACTTCGATTCTTACTGGGAAGACTGATTGCATTTCTTATTGCAAAGTTTATTTTTAGAAAACGTGCATTATACATGGGCACCGAGTTCAGTCTGTTGTACATACTATACTGTAGAACTCCTCCCACAAATTTGTAGTGGTTTCTTTGATGCAAAGCACTGTGTTCTGTTTCTCCATTATTCCTATTGCAAAGTGGCTCAGGAACCTCAGAACACTCTGTATCTAAGACTACCATAACCTCTTCTACTCTCCCTTTATCAGAGGAGCTCTCTCTATTCCATGGCCAACTTTGGAACATAGAATCATAGAATCATAGAATCACTAAGGTTGGAAAGACCTCAAGGATCATCAAGCCCAACCCAACACCACCTAACTCACTAAACCATGTCCCTAAGCACCACATCTACACGTTTCTTAAACATGTGCAGGAAGAACAATCTTTATGTCTCACAGGTAATCAGAAGTAGAACATTCTAGAACTTTGTACAGCAGCACCATTTCCACAACATACATATATATATATATATCCCTCTTGATCTGCCTAAACTCTCAAGACTGCAGCACACTCCTGAGCCAATGCTGCTGTCGTATAACCTACTCCTGCTGAGACTTCTTACTGATAAGCTGCATCTTGTAGCTGAAGTTTCTTCATTCCCAAGTACTCAGATGACATAACATTTTTATATTATTTAATTCTACTCAATTTAATGTACTCTATTAGAAACTTCTAACCCATATAATAATCCTCTATGAAGCACAGCTTTGAATAGACATTCCGTGTTTGGCAGCACTACACACACTTCAAGGATGCTTGCATTACTGCCTTCCTTTACAGGTACATAATGTAGTTTGGGACACTCTGCTTTACAACATTCATTACTTCAAAACATCCACTGTATTTTCAAGTTTATCCCCTCCCAAACCAGGTCCTAAATTTCATCCTACTTCTGCTTTAAAGTCTGTATTCCTATACTCATACTTTCTTCAGTAGCTGCTCATGTTCATGAAGTCACTTACAACCAGTTGCAAGACAACTATGGTGTAGAAGTGTCCTTTCCCCTACTTATGTTACATATAGATGACTCTTAGCTGCAGCAACAAGAAAATGAGACACACAGGAGTCCTGCGTGTCTTGTTTTCTATCTGAATAGATGTCACTCCTAACCCCAAATGACAAAGTTTGAATCCTGCCAAAGGAACTGCGGTTGCACAAAACAGTTCACCACGATTTCACAAGCGCTAGGAAGCTGAGGTACATAAACACCTAACTGAATGCTGGCTTTATACTGTATTTCTGGTGCTGAAAAACCTGTAGCATAACGGAAAAGTGTTCCAACAGTTATAAGGTTAGGTTTCCTATGTTCGACTCACCAGTCTATCAAATATATGTCTGGAGTAAGACTGTATGATTTGAAATGAAGAAACAATTTGGGAAGATTTTCTTCAAAGAATACTTCAAAGGCTGCGAAGTACTTCAACATCTGTAGAGACAGTAAAGCACCTCGTAAGTAGTCATCAACAGAATGTTTAGTTGTAAAATAACACAAACCCCACCAAGAATTGAGGATGTCAGTATAGCACAATGTGACTTCTTAGGATGAGTACAACAGTCAAGTGCTTCTAGAGGAAAAACCAAAACAGTAGAATGTGTTCTGTGGATTCGTATCTGGTATTCTCAATTTTGTAACCACAGGTTAGAGTTCTCCATTATTCAATAAATCAACTATGTTTCAACTCAGAAGAATGTTATGGTTCAAAACCAGAAAACTATGCATACCATGCTGTGATCCACACGGAAAAAGGCCAGCTGGCATGGCTTGTTTAGGAGGTTAGCAAAGGCAATGAAAGCATCTGCCTCTTCCAGATTGAGAATGAGCACAGCAGCAATGAAGGACATCCCTTGTACCTTCAAGTGGGAAAAACATCAGGCAAATATAGGTAAGTAGATTCAAGCACACCTTTTATCTTTGGAAACGCAAATATTTACAGTCCACAATATATCAAATACCATTGTATAACATTTCCAGATGAACAGAAACAATACAGATAAATAATTTTTATACATGTAGTCAATTTGATTTCAGCAAGACAGTGTTTCTTCAGATGTCTGGATTTAGGTGCTTGATGGAAGTTCTGGGAGGTCTCATCATCACAAGTCCTCAGGACTTGGAATGCAAGTAAGTTAAAACCACACAGGCTGGACACAGTGCTCATGAGAGAAAACTTGGCCTTAAATTAATTGTTAAGCTATGGGAAAAGCAGACATGGAGAAAAAAACTCATATGGGACAGTTTAGACACAGACAGATATGTTGGAACTGAGACAAAATGCTCTTGCAGAACAGTCAAGACGTATCTTTCCACTGGCCAAACATTATTTGTTCACATACATAAAATTACTTTTAAGTGGTTAGCAACAATGAAAGTTTACATTTTTCTGTGATTACTCTCTCAAAAACACTTTAGCCTCCAATAAAAGTGAAGAGCATTATTCTTATAGTTCTTAACTGATGATCTGAATACTCATTATACTAAAAAGTTTTACCAATTTCAACAGCAATAATTATTCTGCTGTTTCCAGGCATTTATGCTGCCTGCTCCTCACTTAAAAAAAATGCACTCAGTATTTTAATCAAGTAGGGAGAAAAGTATTGATATGCATCAAAAACAGTCCAGCGGCTTTCCTTTTTGTGGGATAGTTGGGTGTGGAAATAAGATTACATTAAATTTAATGCCATATTAACATTAAAAAAATATTTGATCAGAAATATCCAGGCTACCTGTGACTGTTGTATTCTCTTTTCCAAATGAAAAAGAGAAGACCCAGCCATGAAAAAATTACTTGTTGTTTGCCTTTTATAACTCCACCCTAGGAACATGCAATCTCAGAATCTGCAGAGTTTGTAATCTCACTTAAAGAGTATGGGAGGATCTCCAAAAATGAGGTCACAGGTGACAGAATTCAGGGCTAAAAACATTTGAACGTGAAAAGCCAGTTGGATACTGATGCAGAGACCCAAGCATGTCTGACTTACAGAAGGAAGCACACCATGTGCTAAATAATGGTTTGTTGCATGGATCAGACTTAAAACTCTTCAAGTTCTTTTTAGCCTAGAAGCGACTGGAGCTTGTGAAAGGTGTTCCTAGCCACCCCCAGGAACAAAGAATGAAAAAAGAGGGAGAGAAAAAAGCATCTGTTTGTTATTTAAGTGCTCCTGTAAACTGACACCATTCAGAGTGATGTTAGGTTTGGCTGGTTGGTTTGTGGGGTTTTTGACAGGTTTTTCTATGGCTTTTAGTTTGGTTGGTTTTTGTTTTGTTTTAAACACAGTTGTGTTTACTGCAAACAATCTTCTCTTCACTGAACTCATATGGGCAATTAATCTTTTATAACAAGACACCAATAAGGAGTTTTCTGGATTTTAGGATGTATGGCAGTAAAGCAGAGAGCATCACTACGGAAATGGCAACAGTGGGAGCAACACTAGGTCAGAACAAGCTAGGTACTCACTGGAAGTCCGCTAGCATTTTGTTTTTTTCTGTAGATAACTGTGGGGTCTGTCAGAACTATAATGCCTTGTGAACAAATCCATTTAAAATTTTTCATGCAAGCCAGACATATACTCATCCTTGACATTCAGTACATTTTACATGGATATTTAAATATCTCTAAGAATTACCATCGTTGTAACTGCTATGAAATAAATGACTAAGTGCCAAAGTTGAATTCTTTTTTTATGTGCTAGTAGCATAAAGTTTAGATAATCTACTTATTAAATACACTCTAATACATGACATCTTGAGCTTATTTACCATGTTATAAACCTTTTACAGCATATACTTACATATCCCACATCTGGTCTGTAACATGTATATGCTCCTAAAACACTATGCAGGAGATCATGGTAAGGACCACCCTAATACAAGGGGAGAAAGGAGGGGGAAAAGAAAAAAGGTTTTTTTCAAAATCACTTATCAATACAGGAAGGTAAGAAGCCAGTATTTTAAGATGTGAGTGAGCCAGTGAATTATTGCTCTGTTCACATTTAGAATAACACCAGTTTTTACACTAAGCTTTTATGTATGCTTTTGAGACGTTAAAGGAAGAGACCAACAATCCTATGAAGTAATTCAGTGGAAATCAGTATATAGTGGAAAATAAGGCTATCTGGTACACATCCAGGGTTGGTTTTTCCTTTTCAGAGACAGTGGATGTTTTAATTCTTAGTAGCACAAGCTACTGTATTACAGTAGTGCATGCTATTTAATAGACTTGTGTATGCATATATCTATATAAAAATCATAAAGCCTGAAAATCTGTACTATTACGCATGAAGATTTCTGTAGAAGCAATGAGAATATTCTCATTTTTCCACATTAACTTTATAAATAGTAACAGGAACCACATGCAATTTTTCCAGGAGAAAGAGTCTTACAGTCCACTGTTAAGTGTCCCTACTTTATTCTTATTAAAAAAATATTACTATTTGCTGTTGTATGTAGAAAATAACTATTTTTGCTTTTCTCGTTTTATACAAATAACTTTTAAAAACTACTCCATATGTAGCCAGATAGGTTTCTTTCCATGTAAAACTATTTGGAAGTTTAAAGTTGTCATAACTGAAGTTACAGAAATCTCACCTTCTGGAAAATATACAGGGATGGAAATGTGCGTGATATATCCAACTTAATTAGCTCCAGACTGGCCTCACGATCAGCAACAGATGCACCTGCATCTGCAAGCAAAACCAATGCTCATTAAAACAGATAGATAAATTCTGCACATTCAGAATAAAACTGCCATAGGCACATGATTAGGGAAAAAAAGTTACCTAGTTCTAATTCTTGGAGTGCACTTCTACATTGCTGTAACTTCAAGAACTAAAACTGTCCATTGATACCTGGTATATGACATCAACTCCAAAAAGTGAGGGAAGCTATCAGTAATTACTACCCGTCTACTCACTCTTTTTCAAGTCATACACCTCTATACCATTCAGACTTAAAACCAACAGGTTACCTCTTACTTCTGTGTAACATTCTATCCAGGTCCAGACTGGCCCTGCATTCACTAGAATTTGAACTTTGCCCAGCCCAGTCCTCAAAACCCTGTTTTCTTTATCTTCTACTGTGACTTCAGTTACTGAGTCTGTGCAAGAGCCTAGAGCGAGAGCAGTGCTCTTGTTCTAAACATGACCCAGTGTGATCCTACTTTTCAAATTTTTAGCTCCTAACTGGCTTGTTTAGTGGCTCATTTCAACAAGCAGCATTGAAATACAGTATGTACACTAAAGGAAAACAAGGATGAATTACATCATTATTACAAGAAGCCAGTACTTCTTCACCTGCAAAGTCAAGCATGTTACTTTTGAAGTCATGCTTTTCTCATGTCCCACTTTTACTGAAAGTAACTAAAATATACACAGCAAAACTTCACTGAAGTTTCCAGAATTGACCAAACAGTTACGATCTGCAGAAGTTACATTACTTCTGAGCTCTCCTTAGCTCTCATTTGACTCGGATCTTTTTGCATCCTTATGACAGGCATTCTTCAAATGGCAGCAAAGAAGGCAGCATTCACTCAAGAACCTCCAGAAGAAATTCAGCTGGCCCTAGAGTTATCTCTATCCTATCCTCTACATGGGGACATGATGCAAATACTAGTGATAGCGAGAAGGAACATATATATGTGGCACTTGAGAAAAGGCTCCTCCAGAGGGCTTAAACCAGTCAAGAGCCATCTAGGAAGTGGAAGATGGCAGAATTTCATTAGTAGCCTAAACAGAACATGCTCTGCTGAAGCCTGGAAAGCAGTATTTTCTTCCAGTCCTCCTAAAACTCTGATAGATGCATTCAGGAGTGGAACTGCTGCAGGCTGTGTTAGAGGAATTTGGGAGAAAGAAGGCAACTATTATTACAGAGAAAGAACATACACAATCTAGAAAAAAGTTCAAGAACTACTGCTTAATCCCTCCTGTCTCTTTCAAAAGGAAGAGATATTGGATAATTTGGGATCATTTCATCTGGGACAGTATCACAGAATCATAGGATGGTTAGGGTTGGAAAGGACCTTAAAGATCATCACGTTCCAACCCCCCTGCCATGGGCAGGGACACCCTCCACTAGACCAGGTTGCTCAAAGCCTCATCCAGCCTGGCCTTGAACGCTTCCGGGGACGGGGCATCCACAGCTTCCCTGGGCAATCTGTTCCAGTGTCTCACCACCCTCACAGTGAAAAACTTCTTCCCAGTCTAAATCTACTAGTCTAAATCTTCTTCTAGTCTAAATCCACCCTCTTTCAGCTTATAACCATAACCCCTTGTCCTATCACTACACTCCCTGATAAAGAGTGCCTCCCCATCCCTCCTGTACCCCCTTTAGGTACTGGTAGGCTGCTATCGGGTCTCCTCGGAGCCTTCTCTTCTCCAGGCTGAACAACCCCAGCTCTTTCAGCCTGTCCTCAAAGTGCTTCATGGCTCTCCTCTGGACTCGGCGGTCCAGGTCTTTTTTCATGTTGGGGCCCCAGAGCTGAACACAGTACTTCAGGTGAGGTCTCACAAGAGCAGAGCAGAGGGGGAGAATCACCTCCTTCGACCTGCTGCTAGTGCTTCTTTTGATGCAGCCCAGGATACAGTTGGCTTTCTGGGCTGCAAGCGCACAACGCCAGCTCATGTTGAGCTCCATTTTTATCCAGTTAGAGTATTCCCAAGGAAGATTACAATCTACAGTACAGAGCAAAAGAAACTCTGGATTTACACAGGAAATCCAGTTCAACTCCAAAAGAAGATTTGCTGGGGGTCTTTTGAAGAGATCTGACAGATAACACATCTTTTAATTAATGTCTTGAAGACACAGAAAGATCCTTTTCATGCTTTAATCGTATTTACCAAAATAAAGTGTTAGAGATTTTGAACAGGAAAAACCCTCAGAACTACTCTAATATGTTAAATGAGGCTAAAATAATTGATCTTCCAGATTTTGCTACCAAAGATTAGTACTAAGCACAGTAGGCTGGCTTGTTTTTCAACCAGAGATTAAAATCCTATTACTCCAAGTCTTCCCATATTACTACACTTCCCAGAACATCTGACACAATCAAACTGGACCCTTTCCCCTTTCATTCCCATCCAGAACTACTACCTTTCAAAAATAAACAGATTACTGAAGCCTCCCCCCATGCTCAGCCCAGACCCCCACAACAAAAGAACAAACAAACAGCCACCCCACAAACCAAGACGCATTTCAAATGTATTCTCCAAGGATATGCATATGGGCAAGGAAGACCCAAATAATTTACAGTCAAAGTAGCCAGTTAGTCAGGACTGGATATGGCAAGTGCAAACAAAAAATACTTATTGCATTACAATGCCATTTCCTTTCCCCTCCGAAAAGAAAAAAAAAAAAAAAAAAAACCAACTCAAAAAAATAGTTATTTCATAGCAGCTGGTACTGACAGTATCATATGACAGCATTTAAAAGGCAACTGTTAACAGCACAAGGACTTAATGTCTATAACAAGCATATATCCACCATTAAAAACATCACTGATGCTTTTTTAACAGAAAGAACCCCACGAGACAGCAATATGCCAGTGATAAGACTCCATTATACATACAAGTGTGATAAAATCCCCACTTAGAAGATTAGGAAGGAAAGGCAATCTGGGCAGTCAAGGAAACCCAAGTGGGATCCAAAATGCATAATGTTACACATTCTTCACCTCTCAGTTCCACAATCAAACACATATAGAATAATATTTTTTCTTTCCCAAAAGTGTGGAAGAAGGACTAACATGAGAACCATCTAATCCCAAGTAAGCAACAGTACTCCTGCAACTTAGATTCCCATTTCTTCTTTTTGTATTTCACCTAAAATTTTCACGAGAGCTTACTCCTGGTATTTCAGGAATTCAGAAGAAAACACATAAATTTGAAAGTGAACTAGCACATGCAGTATTTAATGCATCTTTTATCAATACAGTAAATACTCTTAAGCCCATCACTCACTGACTTGTCATAAGAAAACAAACATTTAAGTAGGGAATGTGACATGTATTCCTAATTATTGCAATTGCAGATGAACTTGTGAGACTTCCTGGGTTTGTAAAAGTGAACAGGAGACTGTCTAGCATTCAGGAGATCTCACCTTCTATGTCATTCTCAGAACTTGTCTCACTGAAGCTTCTCCATCGTTCCTTAGCTCTTGACAAGAAGATTTCATACAGTTCTACAAGAAAACAAAATAAAAGCAACAACAAAAAAGGATGAGATAAATAAGAAAAGCACCCATGCAAAACAAAAGCACACTAAGTATTCTTGGCTTTGGTTTTGTTGCTTGGTTTCATCTTAACCACTGGGGGTAGGGGGAGAATCTATTAGATGATTACCACTAACCACTGGGAGTACCACTACAGAGTGTTTGCACTGTATTATGCTTTCTTCTGTGGTGAACATGCAAATTACAAGAGGGAAGAAATCCTGTTTTAAATACTTCAAAATTTTATTTTTGTGAATGGGTTAGAACACTTCCAGTTCATCAAAGTCATTAGTTATGAAGTAAAGCAATTCCCCTTTCCACCCACTTAAGAAAGCAAAACTACAAATTCTCAGTTTTAAACATAACTATTTTTGGGGCAAGACCACCACCTTAACTCTTACAAGACTAATTTTTTTTTGTAAGCAGGTTTTGAACATTGTTTCCATAATTTACCAGGCTATGATGTCTAATTGTAAAAAACACCTGTTCCTAAGGTTATGAAATAGTTCTTCAAAAAGGAAACATACCCTAATTTATATTTTTTTATGAAAAGTTTACATTTTTCTTTGAAAATAGGCAAGCTAATTTTGCATTAAAATGTGATCTGTTAAGGCATACCAGGAGTGATATTTAATTCGTTTCCCACAGCTAGACTCCAAACCTTCCCACGTACACTTGGGGGTAATCCCTGCCACCACAGCTCTCGAACTCTTCGGGTAGCACGCCTAGGATACAGAAGTAGGGGGTGGGGGGGGAAAAAAAAAAAGGAAGAAAGGCACATATTGCACATCTTGTTTTCTAAAAATCACTGGGCAACTTACAAGCAAAATAATAAACCATTTCCCAAATATTCAATATTCAAGGATCTCTGCTTATGCTAAAACCCCATTTAAAAAAAACCACAAAATATTAAGCTCCAAGGAAGCATATCTCATGTTGCTCTGTAATGACCTCTCACTATATCATGGCAACACGAACTGACTTCTTGACAAAACAGAAAGGAAAAGGAAAACAAGGTATGGGTTTCCAGAGGAGAAACAAGCCAGCCTTGCCTCATTTACAGAACAGAGCTTTACTTACATGCCTTCCCAGTTAGGTAGTATTTCATTGACCCAAATCACCATAGCACTAGCAATATTCTCTTCTTGCTTGAAACGCTCTCTCATTATTTTTTTCCTTTTATGTGCTTCTTTAATTTCTGTTAAGCACAACATGTTAATAATTCTGTATTAGTGTATATAAATTATTAGGTAAATAATTCAGGTATTATCTAATTATTTAGATGATGTCTAAAAGAGATCAAAGGTAAATTACCATTGCGCATGAGCTAGCTGGTACTACTTTCTGTTGACTGTAGGTATATTTCTGAGGAAATTTTTTTTAATGTAAGCCATCTTTGAGTTACTCAAATACAGAGCAATTTAGACAAGTAAAAATCTGTCTAGAAAAGTCAGAGCACTCTTTTCTGCAGTACACAGAATGACTAAAAGTAAGCACTTCATCAGCACTGTTTTTCCTGTAATGAATTTCACATCACGTTCTTCCAAAACCTTATTTATTTAGACTAATCAGCAATAATTATAAATAAAGTTATTATTCAAAAGTGCAGCGCTGCAGCCATTTAAAAATTACTCGGATTTTACTGAAACTTTCAACTATAAAGATTATGTATTTTCTTTTCTGGAAAGAGATCTGAGACAAAGCCACAGGGTTGAAAAAGAGAGTATTCTGCCTTCTGCTAAAAAAAGGATCATTTATAGACCCCTCTTATTAGAAAGGCTAAAAGAAGGGTAGAGCAATGCTATCTTGACACCACTAAGAACTACCATGAAATTGCAAGACATCATCTACTTCTGCATGCATTAGACATATCAATGGAGTAAGCATGCCATCTCTGGTAAACTGATAGGGCTGGGCAGCTTCACTAAGTTTTTACTGAAGCTTTCTATGTGTAGCAATAGTTAATTTAATGAATACTAGGGCATGTATATTAAAACACGACACGTGGCTGGCTTTCCAAAGATGGAATTAGAGAATATGGACCACACATGACACCTTACAAGATGCACACAAGAGGAGTGAAATGAGTTGTCAAACGCCTTGGATTTCTTATTGCATCTTTCAGTGTAAGCTGACACAGATCCATAGCGGCTCAATCAGTTCAGAAGCTTATACCTCTGGCAACAGCCCAAGCAAAACATGCACCACAGACTCTTAAATTAGCTTATTCCTTGAATACTAGGCACGAGACTACAGAAGTCCTTTCAGCAGCTATTCATAGACTGACAGTACTAGATGCTACAGATCTGTTTTTTAAATAAAACATATCTAATGGGATTGGGAAGGCTCACACAGGTACAGCTGGCTGCAAAGAAAACCAAAGTTTTCATATCTTCACATTGGAATTTATCTCAAATTCCTGAAAAAACAGATCTTTAAGCAGTCAGCTTTATTATACTTGGGCTCTCAGAGGCAACTGCAGCAGCCCAGCTTGAAAAAAAGAGTCCAAGTACCCAGAGAGTTTCTTGCTGATCACATTGCACAAGTAGTTTAAAAAAAAAAAATCAAGTTTCTACTTAAAATTTAAAGAAAAGGTTAAACTGACTTCTGAACCTAGGTATGTTCATTGTGGTGGAATAAGAAAATAATTTGATAACTGAGTTCCCTTTTAAACTGTGTGCACATACGTACCAGAGAATAATCTACATGTTAAACAAGGTTATTCTTTCCTGTACCTACTAACCTACATGCCAGAAATTATTACTGCTGTGCAGTTAAACAGAATTATAGTTATTGTCAGTAGTTAACATACCTCGCTTTTTTGCCTCTGCCACCATTTCATCGTATTCTTGTCGATGACGTAAAGCCTCCTCCACTGATTTGGCAGGAAGATTTCTGAAAACAAGTTGTTCCTGAATTCAATACACACAAATGACTTTCTGAACCATCTCAAAGCAGGTTTTAATTTGGCCTCTCTCTAATACGAGCTTTGGGGTTGCCACACTGCCAGTGTTTCAGTAACAGGAGTAGAGGGCTACCAGATGTTTACTGCTTCTGTTTATTAGTTCTTCCATAACTTCCCCCAAAGGAGAGTTAAGATTTGCTGAACATCTGGAATGATGCTCAAATTAAGTTTGCATGAAGTGACAAAAGGGAAATACTGATATTTCTCCACATGCATATTTTAATCATTAAATATAGCTGCATATTGATACTCCATTTGTTCATATGAAATCTATGATGACATATTTTCAATAAAAGGTAAAGGTTATCCCACAAGAGAAGATAGGTTTACCAAAGCAAGAAAGGATAGATCCACATTTATGTCACAGCTAAAGCTAAGGAAGCTTGCTGCAGAACTACAGGTTCACCAGCTTAAAATGTGTTTGGGTTTTGGCTGCATAGTGATACTCTAATTGACAAACTCACACTTCCTTTTGACCAAGCTGACTCACTCCAAAACAAACCAGAACACAATGTTTGGTCTCAGTCCCTTACCCAATCTCTAGTCTACACTGGTTCAAAATAAACAGAAGACAGTTCCGTTATTTTAATATGCCAAAAAAAAGTTTTCCACCTCCTCTTATACAAGCAGAAAAGATCACTTTATTAATATTTCCAGTGGAAGTGAGAGCAGAATATATTTTCAAGTATCAGATGTGGGAACACATTACACACTCAAGATAGCACTCCAACTTGAAACAAGTGTCATTTGTAAAAACATACTTATGTTACTTTGCAATCATGATCTTTTTAAAGTACAGAAAAGCATCAGCAAACCAGCTACTGCGTATCTTACTCTCCACCATACAGTAAAAGAAATAATGCATTTACAAAAAATTATCATATGAACCTGTACCTCCATTCAGGATATTTCTGTCTTAGCATTGAATGAGCTTACATACTGTTAGAGAGAATCTCGAAGGAAACATTCTACTTCTATTTTCCGAATTGAAATTGATAAGTGCAAACATTTAACAGTGCCATCACAAGCCTTCTCAAGGTGCAACCTGAAAGCTTTGTTCCTTTTGCTTTCCTTGCAGCATGTGTTACTAGGTAGCATGTCCTCCTCTTTCCTTCAAATGGCTGAGGATGGTATAGATGAAAATACTGACCAAATTATTATCCATTTTTCATTACTATTCTTATTTGCACTTAATATAGTTTTTTGTTGCATATTTGTTTCCTGTTTCCTTGCCTTCAGCTGAAACTTTAAGGAGCCACGAAAATGCAACTGGAACAGGGGCAAGGAACAGTTTCAGTGAACACTGTCATCTTGGTACCAACAAAGCATTTAACTGTAGTTGCCAGATACAAAAACAGCATTCAGCATTTGTGACAGGAAGGTATTTCTTGTTTTCCAAAGGCATTTTTTTCCTGCTGTTACCTACATAGAATTTTTTTCTGATTTTTAAAAGACACTTCTGGTAAGCCAAGTCCAGGTTTGCTGAAGTGACAACTGCCACTGTTAAGTCTTCCCAACTGGTCTAGGAAATTAAGTTTCCAGAATGGGGGAAGGAGAAGAGAGTGCACACTGAGATGGTAGGGAAGAAATCCATAAAAGTCTTCAGGAATTTTCCTGAAGATAAGACTGGTGGCCCCATTACAGCAAGAAAAAATTCCTCATATAGACTATAATATACTTAAAGGTTCTTCTGGAGGTATTTGTTAGGCTCTTATCTGGGATGGAATAATCCAATGACACTCTCATGTAAGCCTTGTGAAGTTCAGCTCTCAGAAGCATATCTAACAAATCCAGTCATAATCAGTTCCACAGCAGAATCGTACTTACGCTGGTCGATCCTCAAGAATCAAAGCAGTAGTTGAAAGTGGTTCAAATTCAATATTTTTACGTCTTGCTGATGGGGGTGGAGGTTTATACATTCTTCCTGTCCGTGCTTCATATTCCTAAACAACATTATTGATAAAAATTACATTTCAACTTTCAGCCTCACTTCTAATTGGTAAACATAATACTACTTTTTAAACACTTAATAAAAAATGTTTAAATATATAATATTAAATAATTTAAGACAGCAAGGAGCTACCATTACAAGTTGAAATTATTTATAGCAAGACAGTACAGCTTTCCAGGACTGCAAGTAAAGACAAATGAGAAAGCAGTTTCTTTTATCAACTTAATCTTTGATCTATTCTAGTTCAGTATTACTACTGAGCATCCAAGGATCCGTTACAGTTCGGAAATCTGCATAATCTTCCCAAACTAATTAGTGCACAAGTATATTTAAGTAATCTGTGAAGCTGACAGAAAAAGAACACCCACCATAAACAAAAACAACAAAACCACTAACCAAGAATATGTGTCTCTTCCCATTTATTTCCTTTTGATTTTATCTGCCCTTAAGATCTGGTACCCCTCATATTTCTGGTGCCTTTAAGCAAGTCCATCAAAGCCACATTATCAAGAACCACCTACACTATACTCAGTAACAGTATAGTAAGTCTGTTTCATATAATTTCTTAGAGGTTAAAACATGCAATCTACTTAGAAATATTTAAGAGCCTTTAGTATACAGAAGGTTCTGAGAAAGAAGAATCCCATTCCTTTTTCCATAGAGCACATCAACAAACAGAAATATGAAACAGTCTTTATTCAGGAAAAGGGCTAGACAGAGACAGATGAAAACCTCAAATCTCACATTATCCTCTGTAAGTACAAAATTTCTGCCAAGTTATGGGAAACTCATGATCCAGCAAATCTTAAAAGGTTATTGTGAGAAGACTTTCAACTTATTTCCAAACCAAGTTAGCTTGTGGGTTCACACTCCCCTTAAGCACAAACGCTAAATGCTAGTTTCTCTAAAAGTCTTCCACATGCTGGAATTCAAACACAGAATACTAACAGAGGAAATTTAAGTTACTTTAGTAATGTACTTTCACAATCACACAGTTCTATTCTTAAGCACAGCCTAATGAGCTCTAACTTCTACAAGCTTTTTTTATCTGAAGACAGTTTGTTATTGTACACTGTCGCTTTCATAATTGTGTAAGTAAATTCAGTCTCAGATTAACCAAAATATCTTATGCTTAAGTCACCAAAAATAAAAACTAAGTAGGTTATGTATCTTCCCAATCAAACATAACAATCTTCTTTAGAAAGTGCTCCCAAATGAATCTCGCACCTAATACACAGCTTCCTGAACACATGAGTTCTACCAGGGAGAAACAGAGGTCTTCGCACAGTGTTCACTGGTAGCATTGTAGTAACAGAGCTGACAACTTTAAAGCTACTACATAGTTTAAAAGTTCAGTACACAGTTGAAGTCCATAAAGTTAAATGGGAAAAGACCTCTTACAAACATGACAACACAACCTCAGATTTCCAGAGAAGGCACAAATTGTTTGCCCAACACTAAGGCAGCTTAAAGCTTTCTGCTCAACAGCCTCCTTACTCTATCCATTTTAATGCTCTCTAACATATTCTTTCACATTGGGCATAATACATGAAGTGATCCAAGAAAGTATAATTTCAAGGAAGTTGTAGTAAACTCATCTCAAGAAGAAGTTACCAGAGAAACATCAAGGTTGGAAGGAGCCTCTGGAGATCTAGTCCAGCCTCCCTGCTCAAAGCAAGGTCAACTATAGCAGGTTGTGCAGGACCTCATCCAGGCAGATTTTCAATATCATCATGAACAGACTCTACTCTTGCTAGGCAGAGGCTACATCACCCAGTATTCCAAAGTACTAGCCAGACCCAGTCTCTTAGCGTCAGAGGTCTGAGGAGATTAGGTGTGTTCACAGTGGTATGGCCATATGCATTATACGCCACTACACTTTTCAGATCTCTAGTCTTCTTGCCCTTTTCTTTTTCTAGTTTGTGGGAGTCAGAAAAGTCAGAATAGTTTAACTGATGAGAAAAGGTGATTGCACCTCCACAAAGCAAGCCAAAGAATGGTTTTGAAACATTCTCAGTATCTTTTGAAGTGTTCCCCCCCAGAAATCTTCAGCTACCCTTCCAGCTATTCACCCTTTAACCACTGTATCACACTCTGCCCCATGGCAGCATACCAAATAACTCGTTTTGTTAGCACCATGGAAAGACAGGCACAAACTTATTTCAATTAGAGAAGAAGCTCTGTTGCTCTTCTGTTTTCAAGACAAGCCCAAATACACAACTTGTAAAGAAAAACAGAGCAAGCAACTTTTTGCTACCATCATCTACGCATACATTCACACTACAACCATAAGTTCTTTCTAAACACAATAGCTTAAAAAGTTACCAGCCAACTGTTCTTAAATACAACTTAGTTCTATATATTTCTAAGTCTCTGGCCAAGAACAGTAGTTACACAAATTTCCTAGAACACATTCCTCTCCTGAAGGGGTAATTCCCAAGACAACTTCTGACTGAAAATAATATGCACCCAACACCATTTGTCACATTCAAACAAGTATCTTGAACATCTGGACATACAGGATTGGTAGAGTTCTGTTCTAATTCACACAAGCATGAAAAAAGAACAGAAAACCAGCATTCACTGTATGAATGAATATATGTTTTCTTACGCCTAAAATTATTTCATTCCACCTAAAACCACAGAGACATTATAGGCAGTCCTGCCATGCTTGATACCTCAGACTACCCCAACATACTAAGTTAGGAATGCATCTTGTAATAGCACGAAGAGGTCAGCATCCAGGCAATGTCATCTCTCATATTCTTGGTAGAAGTTCTGATGTACTTTCACACTTTTCAGTACTTTGTAAAAGAAGCCACAAAATCAAGTTCATTTAGTGGTCAGAGATGAGCAAGCTCAAATGGTACCAACCTTTTCAACACTCCTGTGTACCTAATTTGTATGCAAGTTAAATAAAAAAAGCATTGTAAGATGGATATAAGAAATGAAGCCACTCTCACCTTTTTATTACAAGCAACACATTTGAATGGTGCTAGTGCTTCTGGCTATCGTACATGTTAAGAACTGATACATTATTTTCTTCAACAGGGATTTCCACAAAAGGCAGAACTCAACGCCCAACTGTGTTTCTAAAGTATGCTAACAGTTGGTTTTTGCAAGAAAAAAACAAAACAAAACACATGCACAGAGAAGGAAAACTGTAAGCATTACTAGAAAGAGCCAAAGAAGAGACCAAAATAGCTTCAAGCTCAAATTGTCATGGCTGCACATTCCCCAAAACAAAATACATTCCAAAGTATCAGAACTTCCCAATGGAAGATGTCTCTTCCTCAAGAAGCCTCTGCTCTAGGAAACTCATCTGAAGATTAGCTCCCAGAACCATCAGACATGCATGGAACTCACTAGCTCATGCAACTACGATACCCAACTTCTCTGGAATATTTTGTAGGACTAGACGTAAAGAATCCAACAGCCTTAACCTTAACTACTCTTCCATAACAAGGTAAAAATACAATGTAAAGTCAAATGTCTTGTCAAATGCTTAACATGCAGGGCATATACCAGAGGATAGAACAGTTGGCAGCTAAGATTCAAGACTACGTTAAGACCTGTTTATCTTAAAAAAAAAAACAAAACTGGAGGCATCACACATTGTTTTAGTAGTTATGGGAATGTTGTTAAAAAAACTTTTATTGCAGCATACCCGGTGTTTATTAGATGTTACAGAATATTTCACAAACCCAAAAGAGACAAAAGAAAACCAAATCTCAGCTTTAATACAAAGTATGAATAGTTATCTCCTTATTAAGGCTGGAACTGCATCCTCTCATCAACTGCCTCATAAACCTGTTAGCCAGCTAAAAGCATGGTTTTTTTTTCCTCAAAAACATTGTGACAATACTTAAGAGCCCTTTGATATGCAGAGGGACTTGTATTTCCTGTATTTATTCCTACAGAAATATAAATAAGCCTATTAACCTACAGAAAACTAACAGATAAATGGGGCTGGCTGCCTTTGTGCTTAAGAAAATAAAGATATCCCAAACTGTATCTTCTCTAAAAAAGACAAAAGCAGCTGGTGTTTTAAATGAAAGAAAAATAATAAACCTGCACACGTCTTCATTGCCTGCCCCTTTTTGATATCTACATGGAAAATATATGAAACTGAAGTTTCTTTCATCCTGCCTCTGAAAAACCACATAGGACGGCTAGACCATTTAGAGCTATTTTAGATATCTCTAAACAGTACTGGATTGCACTGTGTAACATACACATAATTGCCCATAGCTGTTTCTTCCACCATCTAAGTAATCTAACTTACAGAAAGGAAAAGCAGCTGCATTGCAGCATTCCAAAAGCATTAGTTGGCCGTAAGTAGGATATGCTCGTGGGGATAAAGTGTTCAACTAAGCATACACATAACGATTCAGTTTCAGAAGACAAACTTGCATCTGCAGTGTCCAAACTATAGAGCTTTAAAGGAATAAATATTGACCATGAAATTTAACATGCATCTTGCTGGGATAAGTTTTGATCTATTTAGGATCCAACAACAAAAGGTGAACTCCTGGAAATGAACGATAAAAACCTTGGATTACACGGATTGTGAGAGTCCTCACAGTCCTGAAAGTACCAATTATAGAGATTAAGCACCACAGATCCCGTTATGTTTTACATATGCTGAAGGAGAAAGTGACGTGATAGACAACACTGAATTAACTTCACTGTCTTAAGGATTGCCTCTAAAGTAGATGCCAAGGCATACTAATCAATGAAACAAAGCACTTACTCTGTGTATGACAGTTTCTTTTAACATGCTTTCCTCCCCCAAAATTCTAAGCCTGATACTGGAACAGGTTTTACTCAAGCAACCATGACCTCTGTTGAGGAGACAGTATGGATTGCGATATACTCTGCAAATGGTTTTAAACCTCTCTCCCTTCTACACACACAGGACTCAATGGAACAGGTGGGCCTCTAAAAACAGCTATATGATCATTTTCACAATGTAGTACAGCTAACTAGAAATATAATCAGAAAGATTATTTCCCTTCATTTCAAGCAGGGTTGATCATCCAAGAATGGAGGCATTAATAGAATCACTTAGGAGGGCACTCACCTTAACGAAACTAAGAATTTCTGCTAATGCATAAGGATTCCCTTCTGTGTCATCACATCTCTCCCCCAGGTTAAATGTTAAAATCGCTGAGCTAGAAGTGGCTATAAGGTGATTAAAAACAAACAACTGCTCACAGCAAAAGTAGATGTCACTGAAAAATTCAGTGAGTCATAAGCTAGACATTTTCCCAGAACTAAGAATACCAGATGCTATCAGGTCATTCTTTCCTAACTTGCAGGCTATACAGGGAGAACCAATATTGAAGGAGGGAAAAATACTAATCTTCACATAGTAGAAGAGAACAAGTAAACAGACACTTTGGAAACTCAACCTTCCAATGTAATGCCATCCATCTTCAATTATTTGTTTAATTTTTTTTCCTCAATTAGATACTTAATAAGTTGTATCAAGTTTCATCTTTTGTTGTTTATGAAAGAGCATGAAGCCATGGGCTTTGGGCCCAATAAGGAAGAGCTGAGAGTGGCTGGACAATGCAACATGAACCATCGGCATCATGTATCAACCAGCAGTTACATTACTACTTTATTTCACAAAGCCAGAGTAACAGATCCACAGAACTAAAAAGCTAACTTGCACCATTCCTGTTAGATACTGGGTGTGGGATTACATAAGTTTTCAAAGTAACAAGTACGTGCATTGGACCAATTACAGAAGGACACCAGTCACAGCAAAGACATAACAGCATACAACAAAAGTTTCAATAGCTACACTCTTCTTGGTTTCCAATTTCATATTGGAAATAGTGATTAAAAGCATCTGGAGTTCTGAAGCACCATTGTTAATAGCTTATGTGACTTAATGACAGCGAAAGAATATTCTGGGCTATCAGTTTTCCAAGCTGACACACAGTGTTCAAGAATATTAGAAATTAAGCCTTTTAACAACTTTTACCATTAGGCAAGGAGGCACAGCAAACACAGCAAGTAAATCACTGTCAAGCTATAGCATTACCTATTTCCTGCTATTCAAAAACATGCAATATAAACAATAATAAACAATAATACTCTATCACTTTGAGATTCATGTGCAAAGTTTATGTTCCAATAATAAACAATAATACTCTATCACTTTAAGTTGAGATTCATGTGCAAAGTTTGTTTGTTTTACTAATGGTACCTAATGAGTTGATGGTTAGTGTCATAAAATATTCATGCTACTGTGAAAATGTGATGTTTGTTCTATTTTGATGAGTGCTACATAGTCCCATGCAAGGCATTGAATACAACTAGAAAAAATATATATTAAATTTCATACCCCTGTGTTTAATAGACTGAGAGTAGATATTGATGCAAGACTGCCAGAACTGTCATCCTAATGAGAAAAACAGAAGCAAAGGAATAAATGTAGGAAAAGACCATTACAATATAGCAGCATGCAAGCCAAAATTTAAATTCACATGTAGAGTATTTATACTCTGTGTTTGAAGAAACACAAATGTGGCTGTTCCTCCTTCTTCTCCAGCCCTCAAGAATATACAAAGACTTCCCACCTGTGCAAGGTGTGCACAGACATCCATTGGACTATTTTTCTGTTTTAATTGTAGTTTTATATTTTCTACAGTCAGTACCTTTGCCCGAAGGGAGATTTTTTCCATGATACTTCTCAAGTCAAAAGAGTGGGATTCCCCAATATATTGTCTCTCCCTAGTCCACATCACCCATAAAATTTATACTTAAACACTAGCCTTGGAAGATATGCTGTTAAAAAAAACAAAACTATGTCTATAGGCTGACACAAGAAAACAGAAACTGTTTGCTCTGAAGAATGAATCTCACTGCGCTCATCTTAGACTGCATCTCACACCCAACTAGATCTTTACCTATAAGCTAGTTTTAAAGCTTAAAATGAATACTTGAGGGTAGTAGTTGCACTGTGGAGAAAGGGAAAAGAAACACAATTGGACTTGGATAAGCATAACAAAATACTAGGGTAACTTTCAAACAGAACTTCCACATTAAGTGTTTGAGTTTTTCTATTTAACGTGAGAAGGTAGAAAATGTCATTAAATAGCAGTGACTTCGAGCAGGCCTTTAAGTGCCCCAGCTTCCCCCTTGCCAGTTATAATTAGTATTTCTAAACTGAAATCTCAGAAGTGGAGTACACCTCTACCTTACTGGTGATAACTAAGATACATCTGTAAGGCTTTGAAACACTCACTGAAATAAAAAGTTAGATACCAAGCAGCAATCTGAATGCCCTCATACCACACTGTGGCAAGGCAATCAGGCAAAAGCATGCCTGACTACAGGAGACCCTGTACAACCACAGCTCTGCACAGTTCCACTCAAAAATCAAAGACAGTTTTCTAATGGAAAAGCCAAGCTTAAAGACAGGGGCACAGAGAGGGGAAAGACACAGACATTGCTTTTAAGCACCGGATTACAGCACCCAGAAAAAGGAAAATAAGCTTTTTATCATGCCTTCAACACTACTGCTGAACATACCAGCACCGTTCTTGTATCATGCGTACCCCAGACTAAGTGTTTTAAAGGCTTCCTTCTCCATGGCCAGACTATTTTCTCCTTTTCAGTACTGAAGTACCATGCCAGTCTTAGAAGTATAAGGCTTATATTAAAAAAATAAATAAATAAACTCTACTTCATAAAAGTCCTTAAAAGACAGTATCTACTATCTGAATCTTTTTGCCAAATCCCATCCTTTTGGAATTCGATATAGCCTGCCTAGATAATGATTTTGCTATTGCAGCACCTCAAGCTCACCAGCGTAAGTCTGCTTAGCCTGCAAAAGCTCACCTCTTAAGAGAGAAAAACACAATTATCCTCTGTGTCATCCTTTGCTAAAAAAATTCAAAGCCCCAACAGAGACGGAAGCATCCCACCAAAAAGAGGATCCAGAAGAACAAAACAAACAAAAAAAGTAGTGTCACGCCAAATCAAAGTAAAAGAAGTTCTATATAGATTGTTTCTATATTCCTTGTTTTCCCAAAACCCAGAAACTTCCAAGGACAGAAATGAAAATACAAACAATGCTTATGCTTTCTTTTTCAAGCTTTAGGAAGAGAACGTTTGCTTCAACACTCCACATAGCTGACCTCAAATACTTTTTTTTTTAATAAGCAGCAATCAGAAGAATTCACATCAGCAGAGCCAACACCTCTATAGTATTTTCAATCAGTCCCCTGCTCACTCTCGAGTACTCCCCTGAAGATACATTTGTGCCACCAACGTAGCACCAACATCATGAGAAGTTCTTGACAAGTTTTCCTTTTCACAGCAGCTGAATAAGCACCGGTACTAGGAGCTGAACTGTATTCTACATCCCTTATGCAAACAGAAGGAGAGTTGTTCATCTTACTGAGGTCCTAACAGTCTCATTTCCATTTTACTGACAAGATAATCATTGCAAAACTCTACAGTGCTGGGGAACGTCTTTCAAAGACTTCAACGTAACACTTCATTTTACCCCTAGCACAGCATTTTACTGACTACATGTGTGACTCCAGAAAGATGACGGACATTTCTTGAGAATCTGACCTCTGCAGTGTGTACAAAGAAAACCATCACAACCTTCTCACTGCTGCTAGTAGGCAAATTGTTATTCAGGTGTTACCTGTCCCTTGCAATACCCCCATTTATTGTCTGTCCTGCTTTCAAGGCAGTTTGTTAACAATGTATTTATTTCTACCTCCCTCTGCTAAACAGGCAGAAGTCTTGCCTTTCTCTTCTCTCCAGCAGTAGTGCAAGACAAGCCAACCTACTTACCTACTTCTTTCAGATATTCAAATCCTTAGACTTGTTGACAAACATATACATACACTTTTTAAGCATTAGGAGCTTCATGCATTGTCAAACTGAAACAACAAAGATTGGAGGGAAGAGTTAATATTGCAAGTTAGAAGGTCAGAGTCACATGAAAACAGATTCAAAATGCATCTGTTCCTCTGAAGAGAAACCGCCGACAAATATTGTCCCTAGGAAACGATGGGAGTTGTGCCGATTCAGTCTTCAGACTGGAGACAATGACATAAGAAAAATATGCAAGTGAAGACACTTCTTTTTAGCCCTCAAGTACAGTATTTTTATTTTCTAAGATTTAAGAGCCACCCAGAATAATATTTTTCAGAGGCTACTTGTAGGACAGTGACCCAGTCAGAGTTAGTATTTAAAGGACTGTCTAAAATTAACACCGTCCATTTTGTACACAAGGTGACAGCTTTGGGAAAAGATTGCTTTACTTCACTTCTGAATAAGCTACAATTTCTGAATCACTGCAAGCTTTTCGTGGTGTGTCAGATTTAAACAGAAAATAAGCTTTCCCCCCCACCACCTCTTATGTAAGGCTGTCACTGACAGTACTTTGTTAAAACTGCTGATAAAGTGAATTTGGTGTATGTTTTACATTTCTTTATCTTGCAATGTGTATTTCCATATTTTTGAAATTACTTAATTTGGACATCTTCGGAAAAAGTCACCATGCTGCTTTAAACAAAGTATTCAGGACTGTTTTAATAAAAAGCAAGAGCTAAACTTAATTACTTCATATCCAGAACCATTCTGACCATAGATTAAAAGCTCTTTTCTTTAACAGTAAGCACATAAAAATGAAGTTGGGCTTGCAATTTTAAGCAGAACTTACTCTTCAGTCAATACACACCAAAATGTTAGACATCAGCCCACAGGTCGGTTTCTGCTTTAAATGCTTCTATATTAAAATATTTCAGCAGTCTAATTTAAAGCAGATTTCTGTACAGACCAAAAAAAATTTACCAGACTAATCACTAATGACCATATATTTATAATTGCCAGTTTTATTAGCTGTAGTTCATGTAAAAAGGCACACTTGCACAAACCATCAAACACATTTGACATTTGCAGGCCTAAAAAATTGCTATTTTCCCTTTTTAAAAAAAACAGTGAAGGAAGGAGAGAGGAGGGAGATGTCCAGCAAAAGAGTTGGCCTCAGTCACATCCTGCTTGGGCAGCTCTAAATCCAAGGAGAACCGAGTGTGCCAGCAGCTGTGAGTGGGGAGATGCAGCTGCCAAGAACTTCCAACCTCTGACCCAGTTTGAGCTGGAGCATCTCGCCCAAAGCATGCTGATGGCAGCACAGCTGCAGGGGACTTCGCCATCTCCCCAGCCAGTTAAACCCTGTGGGCTGCTTTTTGACAAAAATATTTATCTTCTTCTACATATGCTAAGAAACTTGCAAAGAAATTATTTACAGTAATACTCATTAGACAGTCTCTAGAGGCAGAGCTGGCTAGCATCATTGTCTGAAAAATGTCTGAAACAGTATTCTAAATTAAGTTTCCAGCTTCTCTTGGAAGTTATTCAAGATATCACAATCACTATCTGACTTCTCTGCAGAAGCATACATAGCAATGTCTAGCTGATAGACAGTGACTGGGAGCCACAAGCATTCATTTAAATGTAATTATCAATTTACTACATCATCCTTACCAAACAAAGACAACACATGAGGCTTCAATCAGCCAGGATGGAAACAGGGCATGTGAGCTTTATCATCCTTTTGACTATAGATCTACAACGATGCAATTTTTCTCTTGTTTTACTAGTAGGAAAGTCTTTTAAGCTTCACAATATTGCCAGAATGCTTTGATGTAAGGATTACCTTACCCAAAAGTCTTCCTCCTTCTATTAATTATGAAGTTTCTCCTGTCGTGAGTTGTTTCCTGCAAAAGTACTTCTTAAGATCTCACCCTTCATCTGAAGGATGCTGACCCATTACTGAGTTCCCTTAATCAAGGGTTTATTTGCACCCTCCCAAAGCTGGCCACTGGCATCAGTAAAGTCACAGAACTTTGTGTTCAACCACGGCAAATGCCATAGCTGTTCAGGAGCAGCAAGATTTGTTGCCAAAAACTCACAGGCAGCTTGCCTACAGCTTAAGCCCATTCTGCTTGCACAGTCTTACACCTAGAAGCTCCTTTTACAAAAGCCGTTCAATGGTGAGTAGCCCTTATTCTGACCATAGATGTCTAAAAAAATTGGGAAAAAATACAGGGTTTATGTTTCAGATCACACTTGATCCCTTGACTTGAATTTAGAAAGCCAATGTGAAAGATTGTAGAGACACTCCATGTAGGATTATGAAGTATTCTGCCAGGTTCACAGAATTACTTATGAACAGAACATACTGAACTTTAATCATATTGCTATCAACTTCTTAAAGCCCTCCTCACTGCATTCTTGCCTATATTCTTTTTACTCCCATATCCTGCATAGTGAGGGTTCTAATCTAGGGACTTCAGTCAGCCATTGAAACAGTGAAGATACTATTTTCCACTGATCTTCAATAACCAAGTGTGCCTATATTCATTCTAACCCATCACCAGCTTAGTGAATTTCAACATTTTTGAGAAAAGAAACCACTGGCTTTTCTTCAAAGGCATATGCAGAAGGAGCTATACTGTAAATTTTAAACACACATGTAAGACATTTGACATGTTTAATATGGCAACATTAGGATCACCTCTCAATTTAAATTTTCTCAGGTATTGTAGATCTAACTGTACGCAGAGTATAGCGTCAACCTGCATCCCCCTTTGATAACTGTGTATCTTAACTCATTAAGACCATGCATGCTTTAGCTAATTAGAAGCTAAAAATATTAGCTGTTACTGACACATTACTCAAGATTATATAAATCCAATAGTGAACCTAATCTGGTAAACTTTACAACAAAAACCACATGACTAGTGGCTGCGACAAACTCATTCATGTTTAAATACAACACATTGTTTTCATATATTTGCTTTTCTGCCACTTTGGAGAAGTTAAAAAAAAAGGGAACGCTACAGTTTAAAAGAAAAAACAGTCACTGAGGGACAACAGGATAAGAAAATAAGACTACTTCTGCAGATTACGACTTAGTTTCCAGAACAAACATCTTCATTACTAGAAAACAGGAAGCAGATGACTGGTAGCATTGCACACTCTCCATTTCTCAGGATGGAAGAGACATCTGGATTTTTACGACAGTATTTTCATAGCAGAAGACCAACAGCATTCATCTGCAAGTAAACTAAGAAATAAGACTTGCCTTCTCTCACCCAAAAAGATAAACCATTTTAATAAGGAAAAATTGTATTTGAAAATGTTGAAAAAGCACCCAGTTTACTCTGGAGTAAACAGCACTTGCTGCAATCCCATCCTTGCATACATTTCATTGTGTGACAAGCCCCATTACATTGAAGTCCTCCAAAAAGAACCTTGTTTTTCACTTTAGTTGCTCCCAAAAGGCCCTCTTCGCCATGAAGCTCTTTCTAGAAGATGGCTGAAGACTGCTTTGTTCACAGTCATTTGCATCTGCCAAACACATCAGCTTACATGGAATTTGAGAAAGGAGACAGAAAGCAGCTCTCAAGAGATTCAGGTTACTGTTTTCACCAACACAAGGGACATCCACATTTCTTTGGGCAACAAATCTTTCAACTTCAAGATTGCATGTTAACATTAGGCTAATGACACATTACCAACTGCGTATCTTTCAAGACTACGAAATTTTGTTATTGTTTTATCAAATTAAAGACAGATCCCACAGGAATGAATATATGGAAGTGCAAATTGGTATCAGGGAAAGAAAAGCACAACTACCTTTCTGTATTACCCCACTAACTCCCAAAACAAGTTCAACTAACAGTACTATTTTGAAACAAAAATACCTTGAGTGAGATTAAAAGTCTAAATGAAACAAAATTACATGTTTCAGAATTCTAAGCAATTTGTCACAAGTTACCCAGACAGTAAGTCTTCCAGGCAAGAAGGACTATTGGAAGATAAGTTATACCAAAAAAACCCCAAACCAACAGTATTGTAACACTAGAATATCCAAGAATGCTCTAAGAGGATAAATTTTACCAGATTAATATCTAGTTTGAAGAATAACTGAATATATAAGTATGACTACAGTTTTATTGCACAAAACAGGCAAAAGTAACTCTGAACTGAACTTCATAAAGGAAGTCTAGAGTGTTTCATAAACACTTTACCATTAAAAAAATGATAGCATATCATGTTCAACAAGGCAAAATTTTATGGGAAGTATGAATACAAGATCTGATGTTTTGACCTAAACAGCTTAAACACTTTTTGAACCTTTTTATAAACTCTGAGATGTACTGCAGAATGTACTAGATAATAATAAAACTCAAACTCCTCCTCAGTAACTACTATTCTTTAGATACAGCCTCAAAAGAGTGTTCCCAGAGCACTCTATGGTTGTGGAGATAATAGCAGAGACCTGCAATAACTATGCATTAATTCTTACAAGTTTTGTACCTAGAATTGTGTCGTGTTTACTCACCTGCTGAATAATTTTGGAATCTTTCGGAAGGTTTTCCCTGGGTGGGACTTTTCCAAACAACTTCCAACCAGGAGCACTTTGGACAGCAGGTTTGAGTTCCTTTGTCCTTTTAGTGAAAAAGTTTCTGAAAAGAGAGGAGGTTTTTCTTTTTGTTTATTGTAAGCGTATAAACAAATTATATTTGTAGCCACCTACGTTTCTTTAAAGCAAGTTCACTACTGTAGAGATTTACTACTCAGCAAATGCAAAGTATGCTGCCTTAGCTTTCTCTTATACTTTAAAAAAATTAACTTGAAGTGGAGCAGCTTTCATTATAGGTGCTTTGATGCTAGCATTTGTACTTAACACTCAGTTTTACCTCTAAATTCTTAGCTACTTTATGCAATATCAGATTTTTTCAGTAATACCAGACATTTTCTTAAATATAAGTTAGCAGCATGCAACAGCTCTCACATTTTTGTTCAGGGTTTGTTTTAGCGTATCTTATGGAGCTATTTGGAGACTGAAAACACCTGAAAATCACTGTGTAACTTTTAAGAAAGAAATTGTGAACCACTTCTACTAAAGTTTTATGCCATCTTCACACCTTCAACTTTCATAACACAGACTAGAAAAACAGGGACCATGCGCACAGCTTCAGTTTAGCAGATAACCTTTGCCAATACCTAAATTACACTCAAACAGTTAAGTGCATTGCTCTACTACTTCTTAGAAAGCCAACCATCACAAGATCATATTAGCAACCATTTGTCTAGATATATGGCTACGCTATTTGACTCCAACCACAAGCTCCCACAGAGAACGCTATGTACAAGCACTTTGAAAAATGAAAAGAGTGCACTTATTATGAATATTGGAAAGTTACTTTCCAGAAACTTCTGAAAAACAGAGAGATTAAAAATTAAGCAGTCTGCAAGGTTATTTCTCAGGATGCTTACAAGTTGACCTTGAGGTGAACAGAATACGGAGCACTTTTCTTGGAAGATGTTTTTGTACAGTGCTAACTAGCTAACCTCATATTTTCATACTCTTCCTCTGAGAAGAGATCCCCATATTTATTCATCACTTAGAGTATTTGCTATATTTTAAAATACATTTAGTTCTCAAATTGAATGCATTCACATTTGTACACAGAGAACAGGCTCTTGGCTTTCCCCAGATAGAAGTAGCACGCTTCAACAACCGCAGTCTGTCCAAAAAGTGTACAGTCACTCTTAAATTCCAGCACTGTCGAGGTCTCTGACCGTGCAGCATAGTTTTACAATTAGGAACTGTTAGTGTTTGTAAGATGTTGTACAGCTTTCAAATACAAAATATGTTCAGTTCTCAGAATGTTTTTTGTTATTTGGGAAACAACTGAACGCTTGTCACATAAACCCCTTCTGTGCAAGTCTGCATGAAGGGACTTTACAGATACTTGTGTGTAGTTGAAGATCTAGCCACCAGAAAACAGCAAGCTGGAGAGTAGAAGTAGATGCTGAAGAAGTGTGAGTGTCCCAAGAAGCGGTAAGCTCAAGACTAGCAGTCTTGTGGAATCCAGAAGAACCAAGAAACTCAGAACACCAAGACTCCACGATGTCTGTCTGAGGCAACCAGCACACACTACCCCTAACAATAGCTTGTTAAAAAAAAAAAAAAGGAAAAATACTGCATTTAAGAAAGCAGCAGCTGCTATAGGCAGGCAGGGAGAATGGGATTACACACACCTGATGAAAGAGACGGTGTCTTTAAAGATGGTTTCGAAAGCCCACACAGAAGCTGTTGGTGCACCAGTACACCTCTCTGCTTCTGTGGAGGTCTCCCAGCTGTTCTTCCAGCCCAGTAAGCAAGCAAGCATGTTTGGGAATAATTGCTTGCACTGGATGAATAGCTACCCACCATTAATGGAATCAAGCTGTTGCTATTAATAATAGCTTAATTAATCCAAACTGTTCTAGTAAGAATTAGTTGTGATCTAGGCATCCTACAACTCTGTCCCCTTCAGGGAAACTTGCACTATCTTAGTCCATCCCTGCGGAAGGAACGTAAGCACCCAGAACACCAAACCAATGGTTTCTGACACATGACCTGGAAGAAAGGGCTGATGAAAAAGCCAAGCCATGGTACCAACATCTTTAAAAGACAGTGTCTTTTAAAGATGTCACTGTCAGTCAATCACAAGACAGCATACTATTAGTGAAATGAATAGGCCCATCCATAGGAGAAAAAAAGATGCAAAAAGCAAGCCTATGTAAATAGCAAAGATTCATTCCACAATGTACAGGACACCCTTTGCAGTGCTTTACATTGTCTTCAGAAAGGAAGGAGGAGTGTTCAAAGAATCATCAAGAAAAAGTATTTTAAAGACTATCACTTCACTAAATACTACGCTACAGCCTTGCCCTTAAATCTGCAACTACTGCAGCAGCTGTATTTTGAGACTTAACTGGAAGACATCTTTTTTCCCAAAAGCAGGTATGAAGGAAGATATGGAGTCCCATTCCTGAAATACAAAACAGCTCATGCATCCTGACATCATGGATAGCAATAACCACCTGGTCTCTGCACATACTATGAAATATCACCAGGACTAACTGGCAGTTCAGCTCTGGAAGCTGAAGAGATGTATGCCTTGACATTGATGGCAATCTGTCACTGTATCAAAACTGTTTTATGACTAACCAGGAAGCTAGCAGATTTAAAAAGGGAAAATGTGTAAACACACAGAAAACTTTAATTAATATTTCTGGACAAAATATTTAGGCATGCTCATGGCTCTTACAATATTTGATTGTTTTGGGTCTTTTTTCTTTTTAAGCAAATATAACAGTAAAACAAACCATCCAGAATGTAGTTTCCACCATAATGAATCTTGGGGTTGTTTTTTTTTTTAATATTCATTGGTGTACTGAATTAAGAAAAGGCTTGTTTCGCTTTTTATGAATGCCCAAGTGAAAACATACAATTTTACTTTTATTGAGTAGATATTCATTGAAGTCCATTTCTCGTGAAGGCAAAAAGCTGGTCAAACTCTATATCATGTCAGAATAAACCTCAAATAAGAATTCTTATCCAAGAGAAATTAATGCAAGGTTTACAAATAAGCTTTGCTGAAGATGGAAGGACAATTTTAATACGTTGTTTTGGCAGCTCAGAGTACCACACTGGATTTGTTGCTGACAACACTAAAGCCTTACAAAAGCCCTGTTAAGGAAAAGCATCTCTGAATGCTTACAAGTTGCATTCACTGAATTGCAGGAAGTACTAGATTTAATATATTTGTTGCTGCTTAGAATATTCATAAGTTTCACTGATCCCAGAAAAAGTCATCCATTGACATGGACTGAGATGTCAATAGAATTTTGGTACAACATCTCAAAATCCATTTGAAAACTCAAGCATTCCTTAAAAAAAAAAAAAAGCCTATACTTTATAACTGAATAACGCTCTCTGTTGAGAGGACCTGTGGGATACAAGTATAAATTAGGCTCTGGTTTACAAAAGCCCAGTGGAAAAGTTGCAAGGTTTTTTTCTGTGCTAGCTTTATATAACCACACTGGAACACATTAACCCTCTCAAATGACACTGAGAAATGTTTCAGTAAGTGCACTGAAGAGCTCGAAAAGTAACTGAAGGACCACAGAGTAAGAAGCTGTTACTGGCACATACCAAAACATCTAAGGATTCCCAACGCTGTTTGCATTACGCTGCACAAAAACTTTCGGGCTCTCATGATCACACAACTACAACTGCTGTAGTAACAGCTACAAGTGGCAGTTTTCTTCCTTATTTAACAACATCACTTCAACTATTCCTGCCTGTGCCCACAGCACCCCACGCAAAAGTTTCACCACACCGATGGTACAGTAATGCAAAGACGTTAACCATCCCCCAAGGTGGCAAAAATGTGACGCTCTAGTAATGCAATTGCTTATTTCCACTCTGCTGTTGCTTTTCAAATCACTTTTTTGTTCTTTAAGATAAACTGGTGAAGTCTAAATGCGGTTAGAATCAAGCCTTGGAAGGGCTTGATTTTTTTGTTTACTTTGGGGCTTTGGCCTCACCTCCCTTCCTCACCCCCCATAAAACACAGAACTTTCTTCCACTTTTTAAGCTAACTATTTGCCAGCCCAAGAGGATGACAGATTTTCAGGGTTCAGAGAAAGTTACTGGAAAATACCAAGGACAACTAGTTCAAGCTTGATCTTAAATTTCATCCAAAACCAGACTAGAAACCAGGCTGCCATATTTGCCTAACAGGCCACTCAAAGAAAGCTGAAGTGCTTTGAATACCAGCAACCACAAACATCAGGTAGGAAAGTCACCAGGCTTGAAACAACTCCAGCACTCTGCCTCTAGGTCTAACTGATTCACCTCTCCATGAGTCCAAGTAGTCTTGTGATAGTCTTCTGTTTGACCAAAGATGTCAAACAGATCTAGTTTCAAGCTACAGATTTTGCTACAGTACTTTCAACAAAGATCACACATATCCATCTTCCCTTTCTACAACTCTGTGTGCCACTAACAACAGGCTATGACTATTTTGCTTGCTTTGTGCATCCCAAGAAAACCTCAAGTTGCTTTCCACCCCACTCCAAATGTACATCTTTGCGTTTCCAATCTTAACTTTGAGCCTCAAAGGAGCCTGCCAGAAGAATCATCTCTGATGCTGTTGAGATATATTACTGCATTATTAGAAGTAATCAACTTTATTATTTACTTCCCATTTTTCCCTAAGCCTCCCATTTGAATACAGCATTCTTAACAATAACACTTGGAAACAGTGATCATGAACCTGTATTTGCCCTAAGTCCTCAGCTTTAAACCAAGATAAGGACCCTGACTCATCTCTCCACTCTCTCCATAAAACTGTAACCTGTAAATCCGTACACTCAACAACACTTGAACTGACAGCCCCACCCTGGGATGCTACAGGACTAAAGGAAGTTGTTCGGTTGCACAGCTATTCTAACCTGACAGAGAAGCAGGAGCATAAACTATGCTAGAACCACAAAGGAAAAAGAAAACAGTTGTTAGAAATCTGTGAAATGCAACTACATTGTGAGATGGCACGCTAAAATGCAGTCCTGGTGTGCATAGCTTACTCTGCACTGTTAAAGAACTTGTAATGCAAGTGCCTAGAAAGCCATCCTAACTGTTTAGCCAGTGAGCCTAGCAATGCAGTTTCAATCAGATTTTTTAAAAGCATAGCAAACTCAAAGATAGTCAACCAAAGCAGACAGGTATCCTCATAGGGATTTTCCTGCTTGCATCAAAGGAAAGGCCACAGCATCATTATGCTTCTTATTCAGTCTTAGAAAATCAAATAATTAGAACTCTCCCTTCAGACCTGCTCTGCCGCTCTTAGTGATCTATATACAAATTTCAAGTGCAGAGGAAGGTTGGATCTTACACCTGAGTCATTCAAGTATCAGTATGAAGCATATTAAAATGATTCTCCAATATTAATATTCCCCAATTTGTTAAACCTGCCCTACGAAAAAGGTCAAAAATTGCATGGTATCAACTACCGAGACAAGGATACGGCCTCAGAAGAGAGCATATAACATGTGATTGTCATTACTGTTACACCTGGGCAATCAAGTGTGCTTCCTTATGGTTCACTTTAATATACAAATAAATAATTCAAAATGCTGCACCATAGACAACAAAAATCTGCAGACATCCCTGGAAAGCAACCCTTGCCTTGAGGCCTAGAAGCATGGCACCAAAGAAACATTTTTTTTCCAAATAAAATATTCAGAGTTCAGGATTATCTTAGAAATAAATGAATACTGTGTTTACATCTTGATGCTGAAAGCTAGACTACTATTCTCTGATTTATTTCCCTTGCAAGGTAACTACGACCTTGCTCAAAATGTTTACTCAGTAATCTACAAACAAAATAGTTCCAACAAGTGACCTCTTAAGTTCCATTACAGTACTAAAAATCACATTTTTAAGGAAACAAAAAGACAGCTTACTGTTAAAATAATTTTTATGACTTCTACTTTACACACATAACAATCAGGTTTACTGTCACTTTCAATCAACCATCCTTTCCTGTCTTTGCATCCACCTTTCAAGATCTATGATAACAGGGAAGTGTTGAGAAAACAAGATTTGAAAGCCAAGAACTGACAAAGGAGTTAAGGGCTGATTATATTTTCCTTTTTATTAAGCATCTAGTACCTGTTATTAGACACTGCATAAGACAACTGTCTCATGTTAAATCCAGGGAAGCAAGACACAAACAGGAACAAATCAGCATCACATCAAGAGCATCCTCACTCTATCCTATATCCCAGAATCACAAAGGCTTAGAAGAAGAATCCAGCATGGAATAAATGCTACAAGTGAGCACTGAGTTGAACAAAAAAACTGTCTAGGTTTTCTGTTTGTTTTAAATATAATTAGAAAAATGCAGGTAAACTCTGGAAGTTGCATTTCTCTGCAATAACTAAAGCACATTAAAAATCCACTGATTCCAATAAAACCTCAGAATTTGTAAAAGGAATATAAGTAACAAAACTCATTAAAAACTATACATGTATTATGATACAATTGATTTTGCATCTCTAGAAAGATTAGAGTTCTGCTTGTGCAGACAGCCTGTTCTTGCTCCATCTCAATGCTAATTTTTAAATAAGCTTCCTAGGCATGTAAAATAGGTCTACGGTTGAAATTTGTTGAAATTTGAATTAGACAAACTGATAAGGAAACTACTTATGTACCTAATAATCTTTATCCAAAAAACTGTATCAGTGAGGAATCAGAAGTGACATGAACATAAAAATAGGAAGAGCAAAGAACCCCTATTTTACAAATACACTTCTCAACTCATCCTTTAACATTTCA